AGACCCAGGCCCACGTCTCCCCCTATCCGCACAGTAATTTCATTTTGATGCAGGTCCTACCCTAGCGCCGTGCAGTATATACCAGCAAACACATTTCTGGCAAAAGACGCAAACTGCGAAGGGTAAAGTATATGCGGAGAGAGAGAGAGAGAGAGAGAGAGGGAGAGAAAGATGCCACAGCGTTTTAGGCCTCGACTGTAATGTCCTTTTCGCCTTTTCGCATAGCGGCGGTCGAAACCAAAGAAAGAAAAAAAGCACCAGGCACACGATATTTGCAACGTTTAATCTAAAATGGGACGCCGCACAGTCCAAAATTAATGATAAATACGCGGGTCAAAAGAATGCCGCTCTGTGACGTATGCCATTTCCTTTTCTTTGCAAAGGCAAAAAAATATGTGGTTTTCTTGTTTCTTCTTTATTGTCATTTCATTTTGCGCAAGAGCAAATTATCATCGCGGGAGAGATGCCCTTAGTAAACGGAAACTATATGGTTTAGCGCCCCCTCCTCCCAATTTCCTACAAACTCCTACCCCCCCCCCCCCCCCCCCTCCCGGCTTCTTCTCCTACAAACATGACATGAACTAACCCCAAAGTTTCCCCATGTTCTCCTTGCGCCCCAGCCCCACCACGCCCCATCCAGCTGAAATCGCTACCCCCAGCCCCTCTACCCCTGCTCTGCGCACACACTTGAGCCCCAAATCGTCCCGGGTTCGTGTAAATCTCCTGGCTCAGCTGTCCGGAGGTTAGGCAGAGGGGACGTCTCTCCCCCTCCAATCTAAATCAATCTAGCCAACCCGTCGTAGTCGTACCCCCCGCATTCCACACCTCTGAATCCCCCCTACCCCTCTTCTTACCCCCTCTTTCCAACCCCCCTTGTCCGCACACCTACGGCGTATCGGCCGCACCGCAAACCCAAATGGATCGCGGGGGGGGACGAGAGGGGTAGTAGGCAAACCTCATGCAGCGGGTGACTCGGTCCACAATGCGCATAGTCAAGTCGGGGCCCGCCTCCAGCGCGACCTCCACCGGGGCCCAGGGCCCAGGGGGGACCACCGCGCTGGCGAGACCCACCGCCAGGGTGCGA